AATTCTGGAGCCCTGCCTGATGGCACAGTAGTTAAGAGATCAACTGCTAACTAACAGGTCGGCAGTTCAAATCTACCTGCTGCTCCTTAGAATCTGTATGGGGCAGTTCTACTCTGTCCTATAGGGTCACTATGAGTCAGAATTGACTCCACAGCAACGGGTTTGGTTATTTTTTTCCATGTTTAACTTTTTGAGGAGTACACTCTTAATTAATGTTAATTATTATTGTTAATCCAATTTTATCTTAGATGGGTATGGATCGGCAGTTCAAATCCACCAGTGGTTCCTTGGAAACCCTAAGGGGCAGTTCCACTGTGTCCTGTAGGGTCGCTATCAGTCAGAATCAACTCCAAGGCAACAGGTTTGGTTTTGGTTTAGCATATGGATCTGCTCAAAAGGATTATGTGCACTAGACTACAGGACCACAATGCACATGGCCAGGCAGCTTGCTCATCTGTTAGTGCTTGTTCTTTGTGGGCAGGTGAGCAGGAAATGCAGGTTGCCAAGGCCAGAGACAGAGAGGATAGAAGAAGGAGCTCTTGGACTAGAAGTCAAGGTCAGTTTAGTTCAACGCACATTTATTGAGCACATTCTGTATGTACCAGGTGCTGGAATACAAAGGTGTTTGAGGCTGGCTCCTTGGTCTCAAGGGGCTCCCACTTCTGCCTGTTGGAAAGACACATAGACAAGCAAAGCATGATACATGTGACCATAGAGAACCAATGGGAAATGGTGGAGCCACAAAGACACGAGCTCTAGTGCTACTCTGGCCCTAGCTGTGTGACCTTGAACGTGAGAAGGGACTAGATCATTCCCAACCCCTGAAATTCTGATCTCTACCACTCTCAAAACCCTGTGAGGTAGGCAGGGCAGGCCATACTTCTACCTTATCCATGTCAAGGCTGAGGCTCAGACCACAGCTGTTGGTAGGAGACCCAACTCAGGCAGGCCTTAGGAGCCACATCTAGGGTGTGTCCACTTCAGGCTGCCTGGGTGATGGGTAGGGTCTTGGAGGAGTGTGGAAGAGGTTTTCTTGGTGCCCCCAATTGGGATCCCATTTTGTGCACAGTTTAGAGCTGGCTACAGATCAAGAAGAGGAACGGGCAGCCACCCTCACCTCCACTCAACAAACGATGGGCATTTCTGAGACCGGGTCATCTCTGACAGAACACCACAGTGATGTTAGCATGTCTGTCTCTGAGAACACGGAACCTTCCAGAGCTAAACCCAATCCCTGAGGGAGACGCTCCCTGGTCCTGTGTCCATTTGCTGCTATCTCCACATCACAGGGCTTCGTGCAGAAGACATGGTTGTTTTGGAAGCTGGGGCAGCATTGCCTCACTCAGGCTTGTCCCCTGGGCCACCCATTCTCAGTACGGGCCGTGCCCACCCGCCGTGTGCACATTCATCTACACTCCAGGGAAAGGCGGCTAAAGAGTTCATTGTTGGAAAAAATGCAGAGCAGAATTTCAAATTCTCATGGAATCCAGACTTTCTGGAGCCATGGAGGCTGGACGAACCCCCAAAACTATTGCCTTGAGATCATCTTTAAACTTCAAACCAAAAATATCCCCTGAAATCGTCTTAAAACCAAACAATACTTTAGCTTAACTAGTAAAGAATGTCTGCCTTGAGCATTATACTCTTTTAAGATCTATATGGGATCAAACTGACAACAGCAACGCAAAAGATTAGATAGGAAGCTTAGGGGGCCGTGAGTTTATCTTAATCGGGAGGAACAGCTCAGAAAAGGAGGGTGAGGATGGCTGCACAACTTGAAGAATGCAATCAATGTCACTGGACTATACGTGCAGAAATTGTTGAATTGGTGTGTGTTCTGCCAGGTATAGTCTCAACAACAACAACAAAATAAAATACACGAGAAACATAAAATCACAATGGAAAACATTTTTAACTGACAATGAATGCACTATATCAAAACTTGTAAACCGCAGCTACAGCTCCGTTCAGAGAAAAATTTATAGCTTTAAATGCATATATTAGCAAAAAGAAAGGCTGAAAAAATTGGGGTAGGTAATCATCTCCAATTATTACAAAAAGAACATCAAAGTAAACCCAAAGGAGGAAATAATTAAAGAGCAGAATATAATGCAATTGAAAACAAATATACGATTGAGAGGAAAAAAAAAAATAGTTCATTGTTACTGAGTAAAAGCCAGAAAGCCGCTCTCTCCGCCGTGTCAACGCACCAAGAGGGGGCGCTAGTGGGCACTGTTCCTACCAGACACCATGGTCTGAGCCTCTGCTAAAGGCGCTACAGAGACCAAGGGCACACAGGCTGTGATCTAGAGGCTTCTAAGCAGGTGGTGAACGGACAGTCGCAGTGACGAAGCAGCGCAGACTCAGCACCATGTGGGAGCTCAGATCTGAGGGCTGGAGGTGTCCTCCGTCCCCACCAATGACCTCTAGCGCTGCTCCAGCTGCTCGGGGACCACGCCAAGGACACACTGGTCGGTGTGGAGCTTCTGAGCTAAGCACACCTCAACTCCAGGGGAGCCGCCTGAGAAAGGAAAAACCTGTCCAGAGCGTGAGGGGGCTTAGGGTGGGCGCCCACAGAGTGAGCCCGGGCTCCCCACACCGGGGGGCTTTGGCTGCTTGATGGCCTCGGGAAGACGTTCAACATTGCTGAGGTTGGTGTGTGTGTGTTTTGCTTTGTTTTTGAGTTTCTTCCCTTGGTAGGAAAACTTAGAACGTTGGGGACCCAGACACAAGGCCCCTGCTTTGCTACGCGGATCTAGAACTGTTTTACGGTGCAGGACACAGCTCAGGCTGGGAGAGCCTGTTCGCCAGTGTGCCCTGTAAGCTTCCAGCACCAGGCTTTGGGCAATTGAATAAGACAAGGTCTCTGGGTGGTGCAAATGGCTAAGTGCTGGACTACTAACTAAAAGGTTGGCAGTTCAAACCCACCCAGAGGCACCTCGAAAAAAAGGCCTGGCAATATGTTTTTGTAAAGATTACAACCAAGAAAACCGTATAGAGCAATTCTGCTCTGTCACACATGGGGTCTCCGTGAGTCGGGGTTGACTTGGTGGCAGCGAGTCTGGCTTCTTTGATAAGATCAGACAGTAGGATTGACTACTCCCTATACACTCACATCCTTCCCTTCCTGTTCCCACCTTCCCGTGCAATGCTCCCCGGGGACTCGCAGCGCAGGAGGAGAGCCAGCCGGGCAGCCTGGGTCTGCCCGGCTGGCTCTCCTCCTCCTTACGGCCTTAGGCCCTGGCCAGTACAGTTTCCTCACCTGTGACAGCGTCATCTACCAGGGGTGCCACGTCGGAGGTGTTTCACTGAGGTCTTTGAGGGGGATGTGGGTGAGGACCCTGGCCCTGCAGTGACTGAGAGCAGGTGAGAGGGCCCCTACCCCAAGCAGCAGCAGCCGCCACTTGGCACAGGTCCCTGGGGGCCATGAGTCAGTGGGCCACCCACCCCACAGCCCTGAATCCCCTCAGCCACTTCACTGCTCCCACTGCTGCCCGATAAAGACGAAACGTGAAACCACAAAGGACCCACATCCACTGAGTACCTGGAAAGCAGGCGGAAGGTGGCAAACCGGGGGTGGCAGCTGCGCCTGAAAGCCGAGGGGAGAAGTAGGGTGGACGGGGCCTCTTCCAGGAGCTATTTTCTGAACTGGGCCAGGACCCATTGCAGACCGAGGCACCCACCGTGAGGAGCCGAGGTTTCGCAGCTACTGTTCTGGGGCGTTGATGTTGCAGGGCAGCATTGGGAGCCCCCGCAGACCCTGGGCACTGCCAGCCCCGTCCTCCTCGGACGGCCAAGACACCGGATACCCCCTCTTCTCCGAGGCTTTCTACCTCCCACCCCCACTCACCCCACCGCACCCTCAGCTGAGGCCTCCCCAGAAAGTTCGAGTGCTTTCCAGGATGTTCCTCTGTGCTCCTCAAGGGGCAGTCCAGCCGTGCCTGGCTGATCTGCCCATGGCCTGTGTTCACAACAGGGCTTCCAACAGGTTCGTTCTGGTTCGAAACCCTGCTGAGAATTTGCATTTCTAACAAGTTCCCAGGTGACGCTAATGCTGCTGCTTCGGGACCAGTTCTGAGAGCCACTGGTAGAGCGGTAGTTCTCAAAATTTATCATACACAAAAATCACCTGGGGATCTTGTTAAAATGTAGATTCAGATTCAGTATACCTGTGGTGGAAATGCAAATTCTTAGCAGGGATATGAACGGTAACGAACTGGTTTGAAGCCCTGGTTCTTACAGTTGAACAGAGCTGAGCATACCTCAGATGGCTAAAAGAACTCAGTAGCGATAAATGTGTTTGCCCCGGTCCCTACACACTGCCCCCATCATACAAGATGAGTGCATCTTTGGGGTGCCCCACAGACTCTGCCCATAGTCTGTCCCTCCCTGCTCCCCTCCCCAGCCAGGACCCCAGACAAAGGCCAGCAGACTCTGGACGGTGATGTCTTTATTCCGTCAGAACCCATACAACAGCACCACAGACACAGCGGGGCCTGCTGAGACCCGAGGCCAGGCAGACAGGGGTGCGAGGGGCACAGCCACCCACCTCCAGGGCCCTGGGCTGGGCTGGCCGAGGCGAGGGGACATCAAGGGACAGGGAATGTGTGGGCCTGTCAGCAATGCCAGTAATGCCGTCTGTTAGCCCCCATCCTTCCTAAGCACCAGGACCGTGGTGAGGAAGGGACACTCCAGGGCCAGGCAGCTGAGGGTGGATGCTGAGCTCGAGAGGATGCGTGTGTGTGTGCATATATGCATGTGTGTACATGTGTGTGCGCATGTGTAGGGGGCCGGGGTGCCTCCTGTGCTACTTAGCCAATGGGATGTGGCTTCTGCCCCCAGGACCTGCCTGGGGGCAGAGGGAACCAGGACCAGGGCCTGGAAGAGGGGCCGGGCTGGGGCCACCCGCCTCCAGCCCAGCTGGGCCTTGGCGAAGAGCCTGGAGCGGTCTTGGAATGAGGCCTCGCGCCGGCCAGCGGTGGGACCACCTGGCTGACCCCTCACGTGTAGGCCATCTTACTGCACACCCAGGGCCGCGTCATTAGACACTCCGTTGACACCAGCCGGGTAGGCTCCACGAACACGCACTCCCCCGGGCCTGAGACCGGGAATCTGCAGCCGGGAGGAAGAGACCGAGCACTCAGGACCCGTGTGCCCAGGGCTGGCCGCACCCCCATGGCCGGTCCCCCATCTTTACGTTCTGGCATTGCCTCCCTTCTGAGGACCCACTCTATGCCGTCACTCCTGCCCCACAGGGGTGCCCACGGAAACTTCCTGAACCCCCACACCTCCATCCGGGGTCAACACACCACCCGGGCCCGGGAACCCTCCTCAGAGCACATCTCTGCATCCTCCACCCCACCCCTCACAGCCCCTGCAAGCACCCTGGGCTCCTGTGTCCCTCCGTCTATCCGCCTGTCTGCCGCCCGCCGGCCACGGACGGTCCCTGGCAGGGCACAATGTCTCACGCTCAGTACGTGCTCAGCAGAAGTAGCTGGGCTCAGTTATCCTGTCAGGTCAGGGTGGGCCTGAGTAACCGGGTGCTTAACAGTGATGGGGGCGGGGGGGGCAGCCATCAGTGAGCTGTTCTCGGACTGTCCGTCTGTCTGTGTTCCTGCCTAAAAGCACCCCTCCTCATGCCCTCGCTTATTCCTGCTGCCCTGAGATCCCACTTCATGCAAAGTCCAGCTCCCAGCTCAGGCCGGATAACCACCTGTGACCCCGACAGGGCGACAGGGCATGCAGAGAGGTCCCCATGGCCCTCCTGGGGTCGCCGGCCTGGGGTGGGAGCAGAGTGGCTCCGAGAACAGATCAGGGGCAGGAAACCAAGGATGAACGGGGAAGGGAGGACAGAGGTGCAAACCCGAAGCGCAGGAGACGCAGGAGACCCAAGGGAAGGAGGAGAAGGCACAGACCGGCGCCCCCCGGCTGCCCAGGCCAGAGGGCGCGGTCTCCTCTGCCGCAGCTACGGTCTGGGGTCTCAGTGCTCCCCGCTTTGGCTGCCCTTTAGCGCCTGCCTCAGGGACACTTGTGTCCTCATCACGGAGGGTGGCAGCTGTGCTCCTCGCCACTCTGGCCCTCGGGCCCTGTTCCCCCACCGTGCTGCAGGCGGGAAGCTGGTTTCTGTTTCCTTCTGCACCTCCCTGCCTCAACCTGCGCCTAGACTGCCCTCACACACGCCATCACCCCCACACGCCATCACCCCTACACGCTATCACCCCCTCACCCTCACACACACTATCAGCCCCACAAACGCTATGACCCCCACATACGCTATGACCCCCACACACGCTATCACCTCCACACACGCTATCACCCCCACACACGCTATCACCCCCACACGCTATCACC